GCACTGGCCAATCTGATCCTGTTTTTGTGGTTTCAGCAAGGAGCAAACAGACCATTGTGGTTTGCATCCTCACAGAGTCTCTCTTACTTGGATGGCAGGTAATTCCAAAGATTTGATTTCTTTAAGCTTCATGATCTTCAAAATGTGTAGACTTTATAGAAATCGATTCATAACTAGGGAGATGTTGTGATTCTGCAGCTTACCTGGTGACTATGGATTCGACCCACTTGGTCTTTCAGACCCAGAGGGTACTGGAGGGTTCATTGAGCCAAAATGGTTAGCCTACGGAGAGGTCATCAACGGGAGGTACGCTATGTTGGGTGCAGTTGGAGCTATTGCTCCTGAGATTCTAGGCAAGGCTGGTCTGATTCCAGCAGAGACTGCTCTTCCCTGGTTCCAAACCGGTGTGATTCCACCTGCTGGGACATACAACTACTGGGCAGACCCATACACACTCTTTGTTTTCGAGATGGCTCTCATGGGATTTGCTGAACACCGGAGGTTGCAGGACTGGTACAACCCAGGATCTATGGGTAAACAGTACTTCTTGGGGCTGGAGAAGGGTTTTGCCGGTTCAGGTGACCCATCTTACCCCGGTGGACCTTTCTTTAACCCTCTTGGCTTTGGGAAAGACGAGAAGTTGATGAAAGAGTTGAAGCTCAAGGAGATCAAGAACGGTAGACTTGCTATGCTCGCCATCCTCGGTTACTTTGTGCAGGGACTAGTGACCGGTGTGGGGCCATACCAGAACCTTCTTGATCATTTGGCGGATCCCGTCAACAACAACGTCTTGACCAGCCTCAAGTTCCATTGAGATGATCATATCATCCCATGTGTTTTATGTTGGTCGCCGTTATCTTGTATCCTACAATCTTGCTTTCTCTTGGTACCATCAGCTTCTTTGTGCTGTAACACCCTATGTAAACATATTCGTCTTTTGTAAGAAATGACAATGTCAATGGCCAAAAAGAACAAACTCTAGGATTAATGGTTGAACCAAGCAACACAGTTAACTTCTATGATGCTTGAAAGTAGTCAGCTTAAAGAAACCTAAACCTGGGACATCTTGTGGTTTCATTTTTTCTATGAGCTGAAATTTGAATCGGAGTTTGGTGTGTTACCATTATGTTTCAGTTGTATCTCCAGTAACCAAATGCAGCAGAAATCATAATCATAGCATGAGAGAAAGGCTCACAATAATGGTCATCTTGCGCTTCTTTCCACAAATAATCCATGTGGTTAGTATCAGTAAAATGAAGGTAAAGCTGTAAATGAGAAAGAGAGCATAGTATCACCATTGCTGAAAGTTTTCCCTTTGGGCTCTTCCTGGGGAATGATACCCTTGAACCAGATTCCGACGTACTGATTTGGGGAGCTATTAGGACTGAAGAATCCCAGTTCATCAACTCCATTAGAGGAGCTGAGAGTTTGTCCTATTGACAAAGAACTTTTGTCGTATCCCTGCGAAGCTACATTTTGAAAAGACGTAAATAAGAGAAAACAAAGCACATAATACAATCCTCACTCATCTTCCCTATGTGTTTTTGTGTCACCAAAAACTATCTTCTCGGGATTGGTTTAAGAACGAAGATGTTAACAAGAGAAAGTAAACCAAGAGAAACAAAACTCATATGCAAGTTATAAGCAATGCACCAGAAGGAAATCTGTGGTAATAGATCAAACAATGAGCATAACGTTAGCAATACAAAGTCTTCAAATATGGACTGATTCAAAGCTGCAATTTCTCTGCAAAAACTGTACTTTATAAATTTTCAAGGAAATAACTCAAACTACATAGTGGTGCATCTAGACTTAGCCTTTCGAGTTCCCTGGAGGCATTCACTAGAGATCCAAATCACCTTGTCAATACTCAAATCCCATACAAAAGACAGGACAAAACAGAAGCAGTGGTGATAAAACCAGGTTTCAGATTCTACTCGCACATTCTAGAAACCATGGCTAAATGGCATCCTCACCAATCCAATCTATCTACACCCAGAAAATCACAGAAAACCAAGTTTCACGATGCACTTGAAGCCATTCAATATCCAATAGATTGACAGCAAAGGCTGAGTCTTGAGGGGTTGTCAGAGATTATCATCGACATAACCTTGATACAAGCTTAATACAAAGTTACAAACCATTAGAACAAGTTGATCTTATAGTATATTCAGATGTAAACCCAAATTGTGACACAACAACATTAATATTTTAGTACATACCATTAGATTACATGCCATAACTTAAATCATTTTCACATATCGTTAATTATAAACACATATTTAACGAGTATCACACATAAACACATTATCCAAATTGCATGTGTTGAAGAAATCAATCATCAGACACTACTCGTGGTTCTACAACATCCTCTAATCTCTTCCCATTAGGATTCTTATTCCATTCCAATATTTTCTTAAACGTCTCCACGAATTTCTCCGCGTTAATCACTCTCCATTCCTAACACACACAAATCCTAACAATTAACAATCTGCAAAAACAAATTTGGTAAAAAAAACAACATTTCATCATCCATTCAACAAAAAAACAAACCTCAAAATCCCATTCTCCATACATACTAGGATCCTCTTTATTAACCCAAACATAAGTCTCTGCTTTCATCTTCTCCGAATTGTCCTGCAACATCAAAATCAAATTTTACCTGAAAAATTGCATTACATTTTGAACCGAGACAAGAGATCTGATTCTCTAACTTACCGTTCTTACAACTTCAACTGTTACTCTCTCATACTCACTACCTTCGATCACATCGAAGTTGTGTAGCTCAGCATCGGTTACTCCAGTTATCACCTGCACCAAAAAATCCCAATTTTCCTTAGAATCCCCAACACATGATCGAATCAGAAGAAAGAGATCGAATCAAACACCTTTCCGTTGACTCTTCCTGCCTCAAAGGGTACAATACAGGGATACGAACGTCCTTTGAGTTTATACCTGTGACTGTCAAACCCAGAAATCGGAGTTTAATCTCCAATTGAAGAAGAAAACCATCAGAGAGAGAGAGAGCGTACTAGCCATGGAGAACGGCGGGAACGGTATCGGCGGCGCGGTGAAGGATCACGGCGGCGACGGCGGGTTCTAGGATGGTGCCGTAAACGAAAATGTTGTGAGACGGAGCTTCAGAGCTACTCATCTTCTTCCTC